GCTGGCTAGCCTGTTTCTTCCACTGCCGTTTCTGGCTGGAACCCTGTACGGTTCGCGCTGCTCGATTCGGCTCGTCGGGTTTCGCCTGGTTCGGCTGCATTCCGTTCCCGTTCGAGAGCGTTACGTCTCGTTACGTTCCATTCAGATTCGTTCTGTCGTACGCGCGATTCAAGCCCATTCAACCACGCCGCAGACCGTGCTGCTCCCTTTCGTCGGCCGCTCTCGTAACGATCTGATAATTTAGGCTCGACTCGCGTGCGAGTTTCGTTCCGCGTTCCGTTTTCACCGGCGCGATGAGTTTATTAGCGTCTCTGCGTCGGGGTACTAGCCCCTTCTGCGAGTCCGTAAGCGTTCCCCCTTTATCTTGGCACTTTGCTAACTTTGGATAGTCGACTTTTCAAATTTGCGAACTTTTCGATATTTAAATCCTGATTGTTCGTCAATTCGAATTTGGAATTTTGGGATTCGACGAGAAGAGGGGTGTTCGTTGGAGAGGCGGAAATTCTGGGACGAAATTGACCGGCGGATATGAAGAATTAGGAGGAAACGTAAGACGATCTACCGGGAGGCTGAAATTGCCAGTGGAATCGTGGAAATTGCAGGGCGAACGTTGAAAGGCCGTCGGCCATTACCGAAATGGCAACAATGTTCGTAAAAAGAAATATCAGGAACGATGTATTAGCGAGGTGAAATAACCGCGTGCAACGTGCATGAATTATTGGGTGCGCGAGCAGTTTCGATGATCCTAACTGCGGAAATTACACGTTCCCGGGCAGATTTACCTACGTAATGTATGCGCCATGTGCACGGCCCGGGGACACGCACGCGGGATCTGAAATTTCATTACTTGCCGAGATAATTTCCATTTCGGAAGCACCGCGGCGATAATTTAAATAAAAATCTTTCATCGATACTCGTAAATTCCGCGCTCGTCCCACTGGCCTCGTTCATACGGCGTTCCCTATTCGCCGTCTTCACCCTGTTTAAAGTTTTGACGGTTCCGACAGGGCAAATTGCACGTTCCGGTCCCGGGTTGCGTGCTCGCCCAGGGAATCCGGTAGGATGCGATTACGGCTACTATTATTAAACTATTACTAAGAAACTCGGCGGAGTAGCGGGCATTTCGTTGTCAGTCGCGATGCAACTCACTCCGGAGTACAAAGGAACGATGGTAATTGGACTGGTCTCCGAGGGGTTCGCATTCCACGAGGGTACGCGGTCCCCACGCGATGGAAAAATCGATGCACCCTGTGATGGCCGATGGTCTCGTCACCGGAGTTCATTCGTTAGCAGCGGCTCGTTGATTTACGACCGGCTGCAATGGGGGAAACTCGATTATTCGAGGAACGTGGAATCGTTGAAATATCGAAATTCTCGGTACATTCGTATTAAAACGACAAGCACTTGGAAGCTTAAAGGCTCGTAACTCTGCCAGGCGCGTCTATTCAGGCCCGTTTCTTATTACGCGAAACCACGGCGCCGACACGCCCACCATAACGAATTCAATTTAACGCACGCCAAAGATCGTGAGTTCCTAGTGTATACGAGGCCTGATAGCGCGCTTTTATATTCAATTTATTAGCCTTAAACGCGGCTGCCCGGAGCTGTTTACGATTCGCTGCCGCAACGCTTTGTCGAATTCGTGTCCCCTCGTCTCCTCTCGTGCATCGCCGTCGCTGGTTATTAAATATCGTTAGATTATTACGACTTGTCAATGCCCGCTCGGTCCATTTATTAACTCCACCGAGTGTCTATTCGTTAGACGCGAGGGATAGCAAGGATCGTGCCTCTCGAAACGGCCGCTTATTATCAGTTTTTACGGGTTTGCCATGGGTCTATGGCCGCCGCGTGCTTTCGCTCGTTACAAAATCGGTCCGCAGCGTTTTGCAACCGTCTCAGCCTGCGGAATGCGTGCAGACCGCCTGAGAACGCGTGGATCCAGTCGCTATACGTCGTCGCCACGTCCTCGCTGCCAGAGATCATCTGGATCCTCCCCTTCTCTGCGAACGCTGAACTCGATTAACGCGGATACACCGGTTTTACGCGAGCACGGGGATAAATGCACACCTCGGGTGAATTCTACGAACATTGCTCTATCTTTCATTCCTATGTCTAGGATGAGCTGTCTTATTTCAGGGTGGACTCGCTGGATTTGGTCTGGCTAGCATTTCGAAGAGTCAGAAGTATACTTTGATCGTGTTAACGGTTCATCCTTGTGGTCTTCGATATAATTTACGTTTCTATCTTACACAAAGGTCTATTAAGGAGATCGGCAATCATGTGTAGTTGATTCATCATCGGTCAGCTTAATAGATACTCGCAGCAAGTATCGTTTTCCATTTTGAGCAGCTTTGCGCATTGCGTGGTTCTTATTATGCTTCGTCTTTGCGGCATACTATCAGATGTTACGCGCGATTATGTTTTATCTACCAGTGTCCAAACGTACTCGGTCCAACCAACGGGGAAATCAACCCAACACTTGACTCTGCTGTCAGCTATAGGAGAACGCCGCGGAGAGGTACCCGAATGGGCGATTGCTCTTGGGCCACTTCAGCTCGAGCAGGATATGATATCCAACCGTGCTCCATGGCCCTTATGCCATTCACTCTTCCACACCCAGTGGCAAGCACCACAGTGCTAGGTAGTGGACCCACTGGGTCCTAAGGGCAGTATCGTGGAAGTGAGGTGAATGGTCTTGGCCAGTGTGGGCCCTCCAACTTCACCGAAATTTGTAATATCGGTTCCATCGTGGTTTCTGACTGGACACCAAAGTCAGAATCCACACCGATCTTCGCTCTTAGACACTCGCAATACTATTTTCCAATTAGGCTTTGTATGAGACAGATTAAATCCTGATCAGTGTGAACGGAAACGGCTGCCAAATATTTTACTAGCCTCACCTATCTAGACTATCTCGTTGAGACGATCTTGAAAACGGTGTTCAGGGCATCAAAAACAACCTACTCGCATGTCACGTGATCTCCGGACAGACACGTCGCGATGGTAATCGACGATACTCGGGCAATTGTTCATCGTGGCCACGGATGATCCGCAGACTGACCCACATCGGGCGGATGACGGTCAATATGACGCGTTCCCGTTGCAACGAAAACGTCTGGCGGAGGCCGCGCGTGGGCAGCAATTTTTCATCGGCGACAAATGAAAGCAATCCTTTATTCCAGCTGCCGGAGCCGCTAGCGCGTCAGAAGCGGCCAGTCATCCTTTGTAATGCGCTCGCGAGATCGAGCGCGTGCCAAAGTTCATCCTTTTGACAGGCCTCGATGCGAGCGTCTAGAGGAACGCTCTTCTCTCGCGCATTCGCGATGAATTCCGCGCATTACGGCCGGATGCATTGTTTGACCCGCTTCTCGCTCGAATTCCGTGACCGGGAAAAGAGAGACAGAGCCGCATTAACGAAGATAAAATACAATTACCGTAAAATCGAAAGCAGGTCTGTAATTTCTCCGCCTGCCTTAATTCATGCCTAGATCATGGCCCATTCATCCTCATTAGCAGACCTTCGAGGCACACCTTCCACTGTCCGCGCTGCGGCTAACGTACGAGGCACACATAATTCAGGAACGACGCTCGATTTCGCCCGATAAGGCGCCATTGGCGCGACTCATCGCGCCTCGTTCTACGCGATCGCGCGAGCGAAAGGTTAAAAGCGAGCGGCGCGAGTGCTCGTTGGATTTTATCACGGACACGCCTCTACGGCGTTCGATTCGACGAGTTTGCACCTAGACAATGTACCTCTCCGCGCGAACAAATTGATTAGCAGCGCGCGGCGGTCGTAAAAGGCGCGTGATCGCGTCGCGATCCGATAGATCTCGCGGGATCTAGATTCCCCGGGGATCCATACACACCGGGCGAAAGCGGCGTAATTTACGCGCCGTCCTCGGCCGATCCGCGCCGATATTCGCGAAACCGTGGCTAATCGGCCAACCGTTCTCGATTAACGATTTTAATTTACTCGGTATCGGCCAGCGATAAGCGGCTGGACCGCTTCGCTTGTGTCTTAATTAACCTTCTGACCGTTCAATTAGAGGCGGCCTGCTTGGTTTATTTCCCCGAGCGGAAAAAAGGGACGCTCGGCGGGTAAAAAGGGGGAACGCGAGAATGCGGCGAGTTTTTGCATATCGCGGTGAACTGCATCGTGGACGGACGAATTTATTGGTCGGAAGCGTTAACTCGCGGACCGTAATATCGCCGGAATGTGGACAGTTGCTTCTGCGAACGGGCGTATGGGAGACCACGAGCAACGAGAACCTGAAAACAGGATCTCGCTTTCGCGCGAGGCAAGAACCTCGAGGAGGGGGATAGACGAGAGGGGAAACGAATTCGGATAGATTCGTTATGGCGGTTATCTGGTAGAGCTATCGGGAAGCTGAGGAGGAAGTCGCGATTACCAATCTGGACCACCGAGTAGCGTAGGGGAGAATGGTAATTACTCGAATTGTAAACTCGGAGGGAACCGAGTTTTGACCTGGATATCTCGATCGATGGATCTGTCGGTCTCTGGGAATGGAGACGTCTAGGTTCGACTAGGTTTAACCCCTTCCCGTACTTTTTCGTAACGAAGATTTTGGTCCAAACATGATTATCACGAGCCAGACACGTGATGCGAATTTTAGCCCGTGCATGGATATCACGAGCTAGGCACGCGATGAATCTTTTGGTCCAGACATGTTTATCACGAGTCCGACTCGTGACGAGGATTTTTGCCCAAACACGAATATCACGAGGCAGGCACGTGAACAGAAAGTCGGTCCGAACGTAAACATCACGAACCAGACTCGTGAACAAATAGTATTGCGACTGTTTTCGAGCACCAGTCTGGTCTGTTTACCGCGCGTTGACGTCAACAATTTGGGCCCAGATTTCGTCAGGCTAAATGGCACGGGAAGGGGTTAATCGGTGGATTATTATTTCGGTTGTCAACCATATGTCGATAGGATTAGCACGAGGACTAATGGCGATGTTTCTGTCGAATTGCGCAGGTGTATCCCGGATGGCGGGGACGTTGGTTACACGATGACGGAATTGCAGCCGTCGCCGCCAGGATATCGAGTCCAGGATGAGGCCCCGGGCCCACCTTCCTGTCCTCCGGGCTCCTACAAGTACGCGAGTCACGGCCACGGCAGCGAGCCTGCCAATTTCAAGAGTACCTCGTCGTATCCTCAGGAAGGCTATGGCCTTAAGCAGAGTCCGTCTCGGACGGTGCCTCCTAACGAGTACTATCGGCGCAGGAACGACGGCAGGAGGTCCGCGGAGAACGAGCACGAGGCTGGCAATGCAGCCAAGAAAGCCACGGTTGCCAGTTACAACGAAAGTCACAAGAAGAATACTGCGGGCTACAAGAACGACAGCGGGTACGCGACCTTCGATCAGCTTTTAATCGTATCACCGTCTGTACTCTTGGCTATTGCCATTGCTCCCCGTTTCTCGCGGTGCTTCAGTTTTAACTTCCAACTCGCGACAAACCGTACCTTCGCGTTGTATCGTTCGAATTTTGGGATCTTCGGAATTAAAAGATCATTAATTTTCAAATTTCCAAATTTTTCGTAGCTTCGAACGCGGTTAAAATCGAGTTGACAGTGACTAGACGTAGACCCGATGTGTACGCATTCACGGATGAAGCCTAAGCGAAATATTTTGACAGTTGTCTAGCTTCTATTTCGTCCATTTGGTCCCGTGATCTCAAAGAATTCGTGGATGGAATCGATCTTCGAGCATCGAAATTAATTGTTCCTACCAGCCCGTACCGGCGAACGAGTTTCCACGGTTAACCGCCGCCGTAGACTCTTTTATCGAGCAACTTTTTGCAGGCACGATAAGAGATACCGTTTGGCAGCCAATTAGACGTTCGCTGTATTAGTCCCGGCACACTTAGATTTCGCGATAGGTCGAACGTGGCGTTCCAACGGCGCGGCGTCTCGTCGTTACGGGGACGGGGTCCGGCGTCCGACGTCGCAATTATAGCCTGATTATACACGTTTCCAGTTACGTTGAACTTGTTCGCCATTCCATAAATTACGCGGCGGCCACGCATCCTGCTAATAAAGTGGTTCAATGACATCGCCAGAGGAGAGGAGATCCGTGGCCAGGCTACCGGGATTGTCGATGGTCTCGTAGGTGATTCATCGCGCGGCACGAGCGCCGATCACCTACGATTCCCTCGCGACTCGCGTATAATTGCTCCCACGCGAGCGAACGCTGGTCGACCACCATCGAGCGATCCGACTCCCCGTTAAACCATGGATTTCCTTCTCTGCTCGAACAGGTATAGCGAGAGCCTTGGATTCGACAGTTACACGCTCCCTCTCAATGAAAGAGACGAGGCGTCGCCACCGCCAACGCCGCCAGTCAGAGACGCGTCTAGCCTCAAAGGCGTCTGCTATGGACCCGGCCACGAGAAGTATCCGTCTTGGCCGAGCGCGCCGGAGAGGCACCCTGACGAGGACGTTCACAGCTCGGGTCACAGCGGATCTCATCGCTCGAAATCCTGGACCGATCACACCAACTACCCGAAGGAGAAGCCTGCCCAGTACACTAGACCGCACACGAAGAGGCCCAATCCCACGTTCACGCAGCAGGTGACGTATACCGTAGCGTAGACCGATATCGGATCATTCGCCGTACTCCGTACACGACATCGTACTCTAACGCGCTTTAGATTCCGTCGAATTGCCTTCGCAACCGCGATTTTTCCCGAATCGATGCGTCAGCGTGGCGACCGGATCTCACGATCCTATATGTGCAGGGCGCACGGTACACGCGTGACGAGGAGCGAACATTCCCTCGCGTCGCGGCTCTTACGAAATTGAAAACTCATTTGCAAGGAGGTGAAGCACTTTCGACGGTGTTAACGAGTCACGAGCGAGCCCGGGCAAGCTTATCGCGCCATTTTCAGCGATCGCCGCGTGTAAAGTGTTTCGCGCGAGAATAGCGTTCCCTGCACGGACAGCCGGGGTTCCGAAGAAGCTTAATTGGCCGAACGTGTCCCGTCGAGCACCGATGGAACGACGGCCAGCTCTGTGGACCTTGGTAAATCGCGTTACGCCCTAAAACCACGCGTACAATTAATCTCCCACACCCGCACCCTCCTTTCTCTCGCGCGGTGACATAATCGCAGCGTGGTTGCGGCTCAGACTTCCTGAAAAGTAGGCCAGCAATTTCGAGACGAGATGCCGTTTCGCGCGGGCCAGGCCCCGTCTTTCTCTCCCCCCCTCTCTCTCTCTCTCTCTCTCTCTCTCTCTCTCTCTTTCTCTCTCGCGTTCCTCTTTAACGTCGCTCCGTACGCGAATTCCAGCGTTTCCAGCTACAGGGGAACGTTAATGCGTCGTAATTCATTCGACTTTCCTTTTGCTCGATTTAGGACTTCCTTATTAGCTGGACGCGGTTTTTGCCGACTTCGGTAATTAGCTCGTTGCTCGGTGGTTTATTTTAAACCGAAAGGCATTACGCTGACACTCGATGGCGAAGAGCGGCCCGCTCGGCAAAAACGGGGCCCAGGCTTAAAAGTTCAATTACGCGGCGTGGCTCAGGCAAATGTACACACACACGCTGATTGCACAATCGATTACGCAGCGTACGACGACGCGGAGCGTACGCGAAGGCGGACGAACGAAAGCGTTTCGAATGCCACTCAGGAAGAACAACGATCTTCCTGTTGCAGCTGAAGACGGTGATGGAACGCTGCGAGAAGATCCCGGCGGAGACTTTCGAGTCGCGCAACAGAAGCAACGTGGAGGAGGAACCGAGATTGTGGCCTCGCGTGGATCGCGAGGGCAAAGCTCTGGGCGACGCGGAGTACGTGGTGCCGTCACCTCCTGAGCGCGAGCAGCAGACCGCTCAGACCCTCAGCCATGCCGATTTGGAAGCCTACGTTAGGAGCTACCAGGATCCCCAGGTGTCCCAGGTAACGCGCGTTAACTTGTGCTCGTTTGCCGTTGATGGATCGGTGATACTGATCGAGTTCCAATTTCGTAGGTGGACATTTATAGGGAGGCAACCCTAACGCAAGCGGGACTTGAAGAATACACGAGGGTGCAACATTCTCAGCAGGCTAGCTACGCACAATCCGAGGGCTACCATAGTTACGTCTCCAGTGTGGACTCTACTACGAACACTCCGTTCCTTGACAGGTGTGTTGGCTACGGTTAATGGCGGGTTTAACGATCGTGTATCTCGTTGTGTATTTACGTTCGAATCGTTCGTGCAGATTGAGAAGAGACAGCGAGGCAGTGGCTCAGAGACCGACGTCCACCTGGGAGGACACCTCGAGGGAAGGAAGAGACAGCGTCGTGACGACGTCCAGCGGAAGCGCCTCGAGCAGCGAGACTCTGAAATGGCACGGATCGATGTCGGACGTTAGCGTATCCAGCGGATTACCGGCTCGACAGGGCGCGTCGGATCGATGGCACCACGGATCAATGTCAGACGTCAGCAGCGTAAACGGTGGAATTTTACCGCAGAAGCCCAACAACGGATGTCATGACAAATGGCAAGGATCTATGAGCGACGTCAGCACCAGCGGATTGTCCCCGACCACAAAGGGTAGACACAGCGAAAAATGGCCGGACAAGTGGCAAGTTTCCATGAACGATCGCAATAAACAGAGTCAAGGTAGATCTAGCTTGCCGGCTGTGATCAATCACTGCAACGCGTCCACTAACGTGGCAGACGTTTCGTCGTCTGTCCGCGAGAGCAAATGGCAGGAGTCGAACATCGACGAGGAATCATTGGTGGAGAAATCGCAGTCGGGATCTCAATGGGACAATTCGGTTAGGATCGAGGGTGATAAGTATGGATCGCTGGCACAACCGATGCCTCAGAGTCCGATACGCCAGCAGATGGGCGTCACTAGCTCCCAGAGTCCGGAAAATTGGAATCCTATACACGGATCTATGTCAGACGTTAGCCAGGCTAACGGGTTACCGTGTAGCAAGCAGCTGATCGCTCACAGTGCCAGAGTTCAGACTCCGCAGAGACACCACTCGGAGAGCGTGTTGTATCTAGATCGCGAACGCAATCAGCGCAAGCTGTACCCTGTCAGCACTACTCAGCCTCAGGAATCTACGCAGTCCTCGAGGTATCGTCGGAAAATTGAATACGATACACTCCTTATTCCTGTCAAACGTTGTATCTTATCGAATGTACGTGTTTATTTTCAGAATGGCACCGACATTGGCCCAACAGCCACAGATGTCAGTGGCAGAGCGCATAAACGAACTGGAGAAGCAACAGCAACAGCAGCAGCAACAACAGATGCGTTACACCTATTTAGACCCAGAGAAACGCCATAGAGTATCTGACCCAACGTTGAAGGCCATACAGAAGAAAGCCCTGCTCTCCTTCTACGAGAGACATCACCAGGCATCCTGGAAGTCGGAACCGCAATTAGCCCAAGGAACGGCCCCTGCACCGCAAAGTCCTCCGCCCCAGCCACCCCCTCGCCCTAGACCGCCTTCTTCCAGACGTGCCAGCTCGGCTTCCGATTACGCCAGCGGCACTTGGCGGGAAAACGGTAACAGAAATCAGAACCAGGGTAACGGGGAACTGTCGAGTCCCAAGCATCAGCACAGCAACAGCTGTGGCAGTCTCTCCACGGATTTGCTAGGCCCCGTGATAGTGGGACCAGCCATATCGATCGACGATTGGGTCCCGGAAAGGCCACCCAAGAAACCGCACTTGCGAAACGTCTACAACGACCGCGTACCCAGTCCTGACCTGCCTCCACCCTCGCCTCCAACTGTAACCGAGAACGAAGTCCACGATTGCGACGATCCACTGCCGCCTCCACCGCCGGAACTCAGCGACGATTGTTTCCAAGACAGTCAACGCAAGCCTAACAATACTCTACATCAGTCGGAAGAATCGAAGATCCGTGACAGATCTTGCGATAGACACAAATTAGAGAGACACTCCATGAGAAGGTCTAAGCACGGTTCGAAAAGAGAGCACGAGAAATCGTCCGGGAAGTCATCGCCGAATTCTCCCGCGAAAACGGTGTCCCAAGAGCAAGAGCAACACCAATTCGTCAGGGCTGCCATAGCATTGAAACACGTAGACTCCGAGATGGTGTTAGAGAACGGGGTTTCCGCTGGATTCGCCACACACCGAATGGTAGCTACCGGTCGGTCCAGTTTGAGATACCCGTCGACGCAGAAGTTAATGGTGAATGGTAGAGTAACGCCAGCCAGGAGAATATCGGAGGAGCGGCCTTTCTCCGGCAGGCCCCCGGCCCAACTACCTGATCTCATCTCGCAGCGATACAGCGACTCTGGGAATCAGAGACCTGCCCCTCAAGTACCCGTGGAGCCGAGGATCATTCGACAGGAGTCTATGCGAGTGGACGGAACGCGAATCGACGTAGCCGGCTTGCTCAGGAACGAGTCCGCCCAGAGACTGGAGTCATCCTCAGGTCAGAGACCCCAACCGCAAGTGCCTAAAAGCGTGGACAAAAGTGCCTCGAGTAATCAGCCTAATCAGGTGACCAGACCGAACTACCTGCCTGTCCCAGAGAATTCCAAGTGCGCGACCAAGTATCTAGAAAGTGGAAACCACGGTTTCTCCATTGGTAGTCCAGTGAAGACCGGCTACGAGGCCAATTCCAAGATGTTCCCCTCGGAGTCGAGCCCTCAGAAGTACCACGAGCCCCCGAAATACGTGCCGAATCATCATCAACGTCACGGAGACGTGACACAGAGGAACTACTACGCACTGCCACCCAAGTACATCGACGCACCGAAGCAGAAGCCTCAACCCCAATGTCCCACGGACAGATACGGTGGTACCGGTTCTCCCAGCTCTCCTCCTCCGCCTCTGGCACCGCGGCAGAACACTCCGGGCAGGAAGTCGTTGCCTCCTCCGCCGCGGCCAGCTCCTCCTCACGCGCAACAGGGGTAAGTTTCATGGCTTCCTAATGAACGTAATCATTTCTCTGCCGCGATCGTAACGTTACTCTTCGTTAGTTTAACCCGCGATATAGCGATACAGCGGCTGGAAAAGTTGAACGATCAGTCGTTCGCTTTTCGGCTCGGATTACCGCCGATCATTTTTCCGTCGCGTTTCGTAATCGCGGAGATCTCGCGGCCCGTTCGTTTTACGGTCGTCAATTAAAGATCTCGGGATAGAGAGAGGGTCGAAACGTCGGTGGAGGATAGGCGCACGGTATGCTATCGTCGAGAGCAGTTTGAGCCACGGAACGCACACGATCCTGTAATTGCGGCGTAATTGAATGGTAAATGGTTTGCTGCCGCGGCTTGGCGCTCGCGAGTATCGTCTATTATACGTATACCGTGCAGTGTCCCATCGTACGATACGCTTATCCCGCGATCGATCAGCTGAATTAGAGGTAACCGCGGGTACACCTAACCCTGCGCTGTCGACGGGACGCTTATTAACGGCGCCCGGCGATCGATAGATCACTCGCGAAACCGACGCGCCACGTCGCGAAAACTTCTCGAGCATCCCTCGATGGCGTCGTTCCGCGAGCAGCTATAAACGGTGGGGGTCTGCTTTGGGTTTACGAGCCGGGGAAACAGGCGTGGAAAAAATCCGCTTAAATTCCACGGGGATTACCGCTAATCACCGGCTCTGATTCGCGCGATAAAAATGGCCGATGGTTGTTTAACAATTTGCAGGCTTACGCCGCTAATCCCCGTGAGCCGGCTGGTCTCGTGCATACTGCGCATTTTTCCCCTTTATCGATTCTCTAATGTCACTTTTTTATAATCCACGGATGGCCAGGCCGTAAACATACAATCCCGGTTCAGCGAAGTTCACCACGCGAGTTTGCCGAGATTACGGCTGAAAGCGAAAAAATGCCGCAAGCAGCTTTCCCTTAAGCACTCTATATCCGTGGAAAGAAACTCGCGACTACCCAGGCCGGTGATGGTAGAATCGTTGCTGATTCGTACGAGCGTTGAGCAAGAATTACTGACGGATTATCAGGCTACGAAGCCAGACGAGATCCCTCGATGCTCGTTTTTGCGCCGGTTTAAATCCGGGAACTCGTAAATCCCCGGGGATCAGCGCCGGCAATGCCGATAGTTCGGCGAACTCTCGGCTCTGCTCGTTAATTATTTTCTCGTTCGTTCGCTCGACCGAATCGTATGCATTACCATCAGATTATCATTGCAAATCTAACGGTGCCCATTACCGCGTTGATTTACGAGCGTGTGACTTTCCCTGAATCGCGTCCGGTGAGAGTCACTTAAACGACATCGTCGCTGGCTACGAGCAACTCTTTACGATCCGCGCTGCTTTTAATCGTCGCGTTCACGTAAATCCTCCATTAAGCCGTTCGATCGTTATTTCCCCGTGGATCCTGCCACCGCGATTTCGTCCTCCCGCCGCTCTTTCTCCGGTGTCCTTGACGAAGTTGTTACGGGAGTGATCGCGATCACTGCTCGGGGTAGATAGAAAGCGCGAACCCGGCTCTGGTCTTCGTGCCACGACTCGGAACCAGTCGTGGTCGCGAGGGGAAAGAAGTCACCCAAGACGTCCCCGCGTTCTTGAAAAGCAAGAACTCGGGCAAGGTCGATCGCGCGCCAAGCTCTCCGGCTGTCCAGGGACCAGAGCAGCGCGTTTCACGGAAGCGGGGTCTCTTCGTGGTCCGTGCTTTTTTGGGTCACGAGAGAACGATCGTGATCGATGCGATATCGGCAATGTGCATCGTGTAGTAAAGATAGGATTTATAGAGATCGAACTTTAAACTTTGATTATGTTGTAGCGGAAGGATCAGGAGATAGGGCTGGTGGTCCAGAAGTCTTTCTTCGTCGAAGGTTTTTATTTTACTGACGGTCCTTCGGTTCGAGAAGGTTTGACACCCCTCGACCGATCGTCTCGTCATCGATGAGTTCAAATGTTTTAAACAGTCGGAGACGCTGCCTGTCGCCTGACTGTTTACGCCGTCTATTCTAAGATCGTTTACAATATTTTATTCTCTTGCGGTACAAATTGGCTTGAGTTTTGTGAGATGCGTGACGCAGACGGTGGATTGTCGAAAGAGTCCCGTCACAGGGTTTTATAGGCCCTGTGAGGACCCGTTGCGTCACTCACGATCAGTCCTGCTTCGAAAACCGATAGGCTCGATGATTGCTCGAAGCAGCGTAGATCCATATGCAGGGTGACGCCATCGAAATAAAGACTCCTCTCGCAATGAAGCTTATCGAGAGGGAGCCACGAGCGACTCTACCGGGATGAGAGGAAATTAACGACGGATTAATAGTAATTGCACGGTCGCGAGGATTCACCGGTCAGACCCGTTCCAGGCAGGCCACAGGATGTAGGCTCGATCTCACGGGGCGATAAGTCTTTTCACCTTTCTTTTGTTTCGTTCTCGCTCTGATTGGGTGACCAGCTGGCTTCTGTGACGGTCGAGCGGTCGTAGCGACTGCACGAGATTCCGACCTCGGGACACGGTTCGCGGGGCAACACCGCTCCGCTCGTTTCAACCTTCGACAGGAAGAAGACAGGGGACCGGAGATCTTCTGCGTGGCGGAGTCGGCGATTACGGCTCGGCTGCCGATTCCCCGCTCGTTCTTCGCCGCCTCTCCCTCTTTCGTTCGGGGTATTCAAGCGGAGGCTTAACCTTTCGGCTAAACCGAGCCACGAGGCAGAAATGTCAGAAAAAAGGTTACCGCGTGGCACCACGGGCGTGTTTGCCCGTTCTTCGGCGCTCGATTATGCTCGCCGTGGCACTGCCGTTCCAGCACACGGATGGAAGAGTCGAACGCGTGAGAATTCGTCGGCTATTCGGCCTCGTTCAACGAGATCTAACGTACAACGAGTCGCAACGCCGCGGTAATACCTATGCACACGTTCGAATCTTCCCGTGCAGCGGGCGAATGGTGCCCGAGAAATCGCGCGAATTTATTTTTCCAACCGATAACATCTGACTACATAGCAACCGGAGTGGCGGGAAAAATACGCCGATTCGGATCGCGGATCCCACTCGAGCGATCCGGGTTGTCTAATCGCGCGATTGCGATTATTCCTCAGCTTCGTGCCTCCGCTGGGTCGAGTGTGCAGGAATGTGTTTCCACAGGAAACGTCTGCCGACCTGCCGGCCGCAATTAAATAGTCCCTGGAATGGATCGACGTTTCGGTTAACAACGATCGTAAAGTCCGCAGCTATTGGAAGAATGCTCCGTCGCTTAAAAATTACCCGGCAGTCCTGATCGCGAGGAATCGCGCGGCTACCCGCAGCGTGCCTACCGGATCCGCTCGCGACCGAGGTTTTCGCTTTCCGTTGCGCTCGGCTCGCTAGATTAATACGCTCGCGAGTACGCGTAACGATCGCGCGCCTACCCGATCCGGAAGATCGTTTCGCGTTCAAAGGGGAAGAGCAACGAGCCTGTCATCCGAGGCCGTTTCGAGAAACGCCCGGATAAAGGATTCTTTTTAGAGCTTGGGAAGAGAGACATCAACCAGGTCAGACGAAGCCTGTTGCAATTTCTAGCATGACATCACAGCGTTTAGCGTGCAGGGAAGTAACCTTATTCGGTTGTACAGCAATAGATGTATGAAGTTCAACTCGTTAAGTGCTCAGCCTGTTTCGCTTGACGTTCTGTTCGAAGTGTTCGTAAAACTCGGAGACACTGTACCAATTGTTATAATAGGAATTGCCAAACATTAGGTTCAAAGATGGCGAAGAATTTAACACCAAAAGTTAGCACCTTTTGGTCCTAGTCTGGGCCAGTCCCTGAGGACTGGTGGGGCCCGAACGGAAAGTAGTGCTAGTCCCTGAGAATACTTAACACTAGGTTTACGGACGCTATCTGTATACCTGTTTCTGAGGACATCTGTCAAATTGACAGGTGAAGGAAACCACGTGCCTTTTTTTTAACTATTAGTTAAATTTAAAAACAATTATATATTATATTAACCCTTTGCACTCGATAGGGTGAGCTTCAGTCACCATTTCATAAAATTTGGAACATCGATATTAATCAATATATCAAATTTAATGTAATGAAACAGTGTGCGAAGTATCGAAGTCAAATAATTCTACAATTCTATTATTATACAATTCTTCATTTACTGCTCAAAAAGTATCGTCAGTTTTTTAGTAGAGAATCCTTGAATTTCTACTCTTCTCTAGCTAAAAAATCGTCGAGTGCAAAGGGTTAACAGTCTTAATATAAGTTACCATCGTATAATTGGAGCAACCCTTCTGTTCCGTAAATCTAGCGTTAATGTGGCACTTAATGCGTTAATGTAGGTGTAGAATACTTTAGCTCTTTGCGGCACAGGATTTCGGATAATAAAATAGCTTCATGTTGCATAGAAATTTTATTGCGTTTTAAATGAAACGAAATTGGTATATTTTTACTAACAAAGGAATCACGTAATGTAGAAACATAAAACCAGGAAAGAAAGATTGTCGCCTTATAAACCTTCAGCTTGCAACAATTGATGAACCTGTACTGGCATGCTAAATGTTGTCAACGCGAGCGAATATATTTCTAACGTTTGTCGAAGGTATTATCAATTGTTATACGTAAATAAGACGAAATATAAACCTTTACGCGTGTAGCTATTGCAATATTTCGAGGTGGGACTAAAAATGACCCACCATGCATCACGGTGCATCAAAAAGGTGGGACACGTTGAGTGCTACGTCAATCCCTGGGCACTGACAGTAGACTTTTCGTTTGAACTACGTGGATTCTAGGGATTGACAATTCTTAATGACAATTAATATACTGCAAAAACTAAATTCCCTCTGCTGAAGTAAATCTTTCTTTACACTTTCGTGGTTTTTCCTGACTGATCGTCTCTTTGTGATCGCCTCTTTGCCTTTCTGGTATTCCCTACCTTATTACTTTCTGTTTATAATTTGTATATTTGTTGGCTGCATTGGCTGCACCATTCTCATAGTCCAAACGACAAAATG